ATTTCAGTACTCTTTTCTTTGTTTCTCTTGCTTCAAGTCTCTTCTTCATCTGTGAAGGGATTGTCCAGCATTCACTGCCATATAGGAGGACTGATATTACATAACAGTTCAATACTCTTTTCTTTGTTTTTCTTGCTTCAGGTCTCTTCTTCATCTGTGAGGAGATTGTCCAGCATTCACTGCCATATAGGAGGACTGATATTACATAACAGTTCAGTACTCTTTTCTTTGTTTCTCTTGCTTCAAGTCTCTTCTTCATCTGTGAGGAGATTGTCCAGCATTCACTGCCATATAGGAGGACTGATATTACATAACAGTTCAGTACTCTTTTCTTTGTTTCTCTTGCTTCAAGTCTCTTCTTCATCTGTGAAGGGATTGTCCAGCATTCACTGCCATATAGGAGGACTGATATTACATAACAGTTCAGTACTCTTTTCTTTGTTTCTCTTGCTTCAAGTCTCTTCTTCATCTGTGAGGAGATTGTCCAGCATTCACTGCCATATAGGAGGACTGATATTACATAACAGTTCAGTACTCTTTTCTTTGTTTCTCTTGCTTCAAGTCTCTTCTTCATCTGTGAAGGGATTGTCCAGCATTCACTGCCATATAGGAGGACTGATATTACATAACAGTTCAGTACTCTTTTCTTTGTTTCTAATAACATTTTTCTGTTTCTTAATACTCTGCTTAGCTTTTGGAATACATCTTTGCCTATCTCAATGTACCTTCAGATTTCAGTGTCACACTTTTCATTATCTTTTAAAACACTTCCCAGATACTTAAATCTTTGTGCTTGTTTTATTTTGGTATCTACAATTTGTAATCTATGTATTGATCTGTTACTTTTGCTAACAACCATACATTCTGTATCTTTGCAGCTGGTGTTTAATTCTTTCTTGTTGCTTTTTTTTGCTACCTTCTGTAGAAGTTTTTATAGATTTCTTTCCATCTGTTATCTACATCCTGACCTGGCATCTCGGCTTCAGTCACTTTTCCACTGCCATAACATAGCTTCCATGTGCATTTTCTATAAATGGTAATTGTTCTGATGAACTTTCCACAGTAACACCTAGACTTTATGAATTTAAGCACAGTACTAGATTGGCAGCAAAGTCTCATCATCTTACACTTGAAATGGCAAGATGTAATCGTACATTCTTTGCTAACAGTTTCCTTCTTGCTTATGGAACTCTCTTCTAGATTCTTGCTTCCCAGCAAACTTTTAATCTTCAAAAATTTGAAGACAATGTCAATCGTTATCTTCTGTCTTCTAATTCTTGTTCTTTTAGTGTTCTCTCTTCTTAATAGTAATTTTTCTGATATTCTCTAAAACTAGGCACCCTTTTGCATCCTGGTGGCTTTATTGCCTTGCTTGGGGTTAAATGATTAAAAAATAAAATCTTACTTTAAGAGTTAGGTTTGATTAACGCTGGTAGGATTTCTAATTCTCTCAGAATTGCCTCACTTTATAGGTTGAATAAGTCCGGTGAGAAAACAAAACCTTATTTCACATCCCTTTCTGTTTTTGTATATCTGCTGAACTCATTTTCTATCTGTATGCGAACAGTTTGATGCCAGTATAGATTATGTTGATTATTTGAATATCCTTCCTAAATATGTCAAGTTTACTAAGCATTTCTAACAGATCTTTGTGGTATACTCTATTGAATACATCTGCATAATCTATAAAACACAGGTATATGTCTTTCTGTATTTGTATTGCTCTTCACATGACCTTATTGACAGCAAACCTCTGGTTTAGTAGTTAGTAATGCACATGCTGTCATCCACCATAAAAGCATCATTAGTGCATGTCTGAGGTCTATTCCACTTGTCTCCAGCAAGTTGTTGGAAAGCCTGTGTAGAGATACAGAAAGCTATTATCTACCTTTGTAGTCACATGTGTCGAGTGATGGCCACTTGCTGGCATCACTCATACAATGATGAAAGTGGCCAGTCATTCATTTTGTTTATAACAGCCAAACGAAGCGGTTGCTTTTTTTATCCTGGGCCAAATCTGCCTTCTCCAACAAATGGTACAATTTACAAGTCTATAGTGTCATTTGTCTTTGGGAAAATATCTTCTTCAGATATAGAAATCTTTGGTTAGCAGCCCTCAATTTGGGAAAACCTAAGACTCGCTCTTTCCAATTTGCAGGGTATATCCTCACTTGGCATATAGTAGATGGCCTGTTTGAATCTGGAGTCTTAAACATGGCTTCTCTAGAATCACAGAATTTCCATATTATCTGTAAGACTCCTCTCTTTTTGTTCTCCTTACACTCAACTTGCCATATATCTATGTAATATAATTTCTCTGCATTAGGCATGTATATATAGTTTTGTGTATGTCTTAGTGGTATAAAAGTCTCTCTGAGAACAAACCATGTTTGTGATTCCTCTTCCTTTCAGCCATTCCATTCAGTCTGTAAAATACAGTGTTATTATATCATAGATATAGTAATGCCCATAATGGGGGAAAATACAAATGGCAGGATAAATTATTCTTCCTTATCTCTCTTGTAACAGCCATGAAATCTCTCTGAGTGTATCTTGTACATAGAGGAGCTTATTTTTTTGTCAACTGCCATCTTAATTTGTTTGCCTTTCCTAACTCTCTCCAGACCGACATCAACGGATAAAGTTGGTCATGTTTAGGTACCCCCCAACACACACACACACTTACCTACTGTCTCCCTACAGTTTATAGTATTTAGGACCCAGGTTGGCTTGGTTTAATGTTTTAAAAAATTAAGAAAAATTTTAAACAGAAAATTGGTCCCTCTGTATATACAATGAGTATTGGTGTTGATTCGGTCAATATAAGCAAATGTGCCAACAAAATGCAAACATTGTATACCTAAATTTCCAGCCTATATTATGAAAGAAGAGCACATTCCTACTTTCCACACATTGTCCGAGTGTGACTTTTATATATATATATATATATATATATATATATATATATATATATATATATATATATATATGTTTGTCTTGTATATATGTTATTTACTTATATATGTCTGATTAATAAATGAAAAATCAATCCCCAAAATTGTCTTTGTTCACATTAGGATAAGAAACTAAGCAGAGATGTATATTTCAAGATTTGGGAAAGGCCTATGTTCAAAAGCACATCAAATCTAATGACAGTTTCCCCCAGGGCAAGGGTGGGCAACCTTTTTTGAGAGTGTGTTCAAAAACCAAATCTCTGAAAGGAAATTTTTCAACATGCTCAACAAAAAGTTTTTGAGAACATATCTGATATCTCTGAAGTATATGAAGAAATCTTTGAAATGATAAAAATTACCCCAGAGCAGTAAAAACACTATAGTTATTGTAAAACTGACTGAATGAAAAAAAATTAGGACAAATTTTTATGAAAGGTTTTTTTTTTTTGTTTTTGTTTTTGTTTTTTAGCCTGTAAATATAACTACCATGCATACTCATACAATTTAAAGACACTATTAACTATTATTAGCATCAACACAAAAAGTTATTTTTTTTTCCATTAATCAATCATCATTTTTCTCAGTTATACATTTTTATGACTAAAACACAGTAAAAGGTTAAGTGATGTATTAAAAAAGAAATGCTCTATAATATTTTATGTTATTAGGATCTACTTAGATTACTTACCCATGGATTTTTGCCTATAGGTATGTTCATGAGACCAATTTTTTTTTTTTTTTTTTTTTTTAGCATACCATGAATAAAAAAGACTTGATGAAAATAATTTTTATTGTCTAAATGTTAATGTTATTATCAAGAAGAAAGATCAAAGCATTTTTTGAATAATTCTTTACATTTTTTTTAATAATTCTAGCACATCAAAAATTTTCATTAAAAATCTTCAAATTTTTTGAATCTGAAAAATTGACAGAAAATCGATCGTCAGCCGTTTTTTTTTTTAACTTTTGTTTACAAAAGTGAATGTTGCCGTTTAAAAAAAAATGCACAAAAATTCGCCATGTTATTTTTACTAGACTTTTGGTGATGACGAGAAACAAGGTTTTTCAATCAAAAGTTAGAATGTTGTAATAAAGACATAAAAATTTTTTAAAAATAATTAAAAATTACTTTTTCTCTTAATAGTAACATGAGCATTTTGGCGATTAAAATTTTGTTTGTGTCAAGTTTGGCGTCTTTTTCATCAGACTATGCGCTTTTTTTTTTTTTTTTTTTACGATCTCATGGAGATCCATATATATATATATATATATATATATATATATATATATATATATACCCTTCAAATCTACATTTAAACAGCTCTGAACCTTTACCACTTTCAAAAGAAAACCTGAGATTAAACTAGACAGAAAACTTGTTTCTTCTTTTTATATATTATCATTGGCACTTTTGCTGCTACATCCCTGATAAGAGATTTTATATCTGGTTTATATTTAATGACCTTGAGAGATATGCATGCACTACTAGTTTCATCCATCAGGTCACTCCTGTTATGAGACTTAAAGTTCACTGAGAACAAAGATTCACAAGCATAGGTAGATGAAAACATGGATAATAATGTTGTTGCAAGGGTTTTTAAATACAATTTACTGGAATTGTATTCCAAGTCTTTAATACTTTGTTTCCCACATTTCTCTCTAATTCTCACATCTCTAATACCTCCATTACAATATTTTCCAAGTCAACTCTAAGGTCAACAAATTTCTTTCAAATTGAGTTACTCTGAAATTCAAAATCATCCATGTCTATCCATGAAAACATCTGCAAGTTTAGTTCATCCAGTTTGATACTGTCTGGAAACTTAATGAATTTTGCTGACTCTTCCAGTTCTCTGAATTTATCAAATCTTGTTAACTGCGCAACAGTTGATTCAGTGATCTTTACCAACAGCTTTTGAAGACATTGGCAGTCTGTTCTGCCATATTTTTGACAATCATTGGTTTGGGTAGTATTTAAATCTCTCCTTATTTACATCCCTCTTAAAAACTTCTAGTTTCATTTGAAAAACCTTTATGTAACCAAACATGACATTGAGTGCCTTACAAGATCCCTGTAATTTAATATTCAAGTCATTTAAATGTTCACAAAACTCTGCAAAAAACACCAGTTTACAGACCCACGTGACGTCAGACAACTTTTGGTAAGACACTTGTTGGTCATTCAAAAAGAACTTTATTTCATTGACGCATTCAGAAAACCATTTCAGAACCAAACCTCAGCTAAACCAACAAACATTGTTGTACATTTTCACTCCTTTATGTACAGACTCTACCTTATTCAATAAAATTTGAAATTCTTTTAAAGCCCAAACAAATGTAATTGATGATCTTGTTAACTGTTTGCTTAACTTCTTGAAGTTCCTTTAGGCCAGCTTTTGCACACAAAACCTTATGTAAAATGCAATGAAAACCTATCAATAAATGATCAACATCATTTACAAACAGATCTACAAATCCTGCCTTCTCATCAGCCATTCTGAGGGCACCATCTGTTGTGGCAGATACTTTTGAAATGTGAATTTGTCGTAGATAATCTCTTCACAACTGCTTTACATATTTCAGCTCCTGGTAGTACACTCGAGGAGTATTTCAAGGGCAATCATCTCTTCACATACTTCGTCACCCACTTCAAAACCAAGAAAATATGGCTAGCCTAGCTGACTATGTACTTTCATCAACACAAATAGAAAAAAACTTACATGAAGACAATTCATTTGTCAATTGTTCAGCTGTATTCCTTTCCAACTTAAGTATCCTATCCACAACTGTTTTCTTACTCGCAGACAAATCTTTAATGTGCTGGATAATCTTATCCTTTTCTGAAAAATTGTCAAAAAGGGAAGGCACACATTCTAGCCAAGCTTCTTTAACATACTTCCCATTACTTAGTGGCTTTCCATGTTGGGCAATAAATTTTGAAACCTCAAAACAAGCAGCAACTAAGTTGGAACTGGGCCTACTTGAAATAAAGTATCGGCCTGTTTGTTTTTTTTTGTTTTTTTTTATCTTGCTCACTTCACAAGAAATGAATTCTTTTCGCTCCTTCTCAGGGTTTTTTTTTTTTTTTTTTTTTTTTTTTTTTGTAAATTCTTATGAACCCTTTTATAATGTCTCTTTACAGAATAATTCCTGCAAACATTTGTTTCAGAACAGAAAAGGCATAAGGCTTTGTCTCTTTTTAATCATGACATTTTTCAGTCCAGTATTCTTTAAATTCTCTAATATCCTCTTCATTTGAATGACGTCGTTTCTTAGCTAATGATCGTGACAATTTATAAAGGGCATAAAATAAAAATAATGGTATACAGGAAAGAATAAAAGTAAATCAAAAAGGTAATATAAGTTTTGTGTGCCAGAAACAACTCGTTGCACCTGCCAGAGAACGTATATTTTTCTAATGAGATTTCTTGAATATTCACACTTGTAGATGAAAATAAACGTTTAATAAATTAAAACGAAGCATCTACTCAAATATGGGTATCCATTAAAATAAGCTAAATATGTCAGATTAATAAATGAAAAATTATTTCCTAAAAATGTACACATGTATAAACATTTGACTGAGTTTAAAATAAGACATTGGAATAATACATTCCTCCTCCTACTCAGTCTGGACAACCCTTACCCTGAGCTGAACAATAAAATCAGTGATAAAAAAAAGTAGTTAAACCCTGAAAAATTAGACAATTATAAAATTTTATTGTACTATTTTATGGAAATCATCCAGGAATAAATAAAATTATTCAAAGATTTTTTAAAAATATGTAGAAATATTTTTACGTGTGTTATGGAATTATGATACTGCACACACACAAATCAAATTTACATAGGCACAGTTTGAATGAAATTGAAATGTACCTCCATATTGAAAGGGCTAATTTCCTTTTGTCTGGTAACAACCCCTATCTAACAGGAAAAGTTTATAAACCATGAAGTCATAACTGTATTATAATTGGTTCTTTGTGCCATGGCCCACTGGATAAAAGCATGCATTGGTAAGATCCAGTGACCCAAAGAGTTGTGAGTTCAATACAAGGCTACAGCATTGGTGAACAAAAAACTTGGAGAGTTGAGAAAGGGAAACAACTGAGACATCCGGACAAGGCATGGCACTTGGAACTAGAACAATCTACCCCAGTGGACAAAATATGTTCAGTTAGAAATTCCAATCACTTGAAGAAGTGTACAACTTCCAAAACATGAAACCGTCTGACTAATGTAAATAATCATACCTCATCTCAGAGATATAGACAGATATAATTACTCATTAAATACATGATAGAGAACTAGCAACAATAATGTACATAAAGTGAGTGACTTATCTATCTATATTTCCAAGATGAAATAATTTAACTATTTGCATTATTGACTTTGTTTAGACTGTTGTCCTCATCTTTGTCATATTCACAATGTTTCAGCCATTGCATATGCCGGTCTTCTTCAGAATTTAACTGCTTCAATCTAAAAGATGCAAAAAAAGAATTGTGTAAAATCTTAATGTGAACTACTATTCTCTTTAACTTGCATTTTTGTATTTAGCAAGTAACTCCAAAGTAATTTTTTTATACTGTATATATTCACAGATCATGCAAATTTTGAAGAACTAATTTTGAAGATAATTTGACTACAGTAAATGGATATGTAGTTAGCACTGTAGCCAAGACCAGCAGTCATACACTAATTTTAAATCTCGTGTATGATGTGACCCCCTTAAAATTAAGTCTTCAAAAGTTGCATGTTGCACAACTATATATGATAATAGTTAACATGAACACTGATCTACCCACACCTTGTACACTGAAAGATTTTGGTATATAAGGCATGAAACTAAAATTAAGCATGGAAACATCCAAAAATCAAAGGCCAGAGTTGCAGTGTGTAACAAAGGGTCATATGTGTAGGCTGTATCCTTTTTATCTTTGTCAATCTTTTAGGGCTTTTAGCCACATCACATTGAAACACAGGTTCTTGTGGAATCACCAAAGTTAAAGCAACATCAGTTTGGTCAGGACCTTCATGGGTGACAGTTTTTGGAATACCAAGTGCTGTAATCTTGGATGTGCAGGTGATATAATGGATAATGGCTTGGAGTTGTTGATTGAAGAACTGATTTCCAATTCCTGTTGGATTTGTTATAGTCACTTGCACACAAATACCATTAGAAAAGGTATAAATCTACCTCTTCTCTCCCCACCCCCAAAATTGGTTAATTAGTAAGATTTGTATCACTAAAACTCTTGTCTTTAAAAAAAACGTATAGATAATATTTAAATTTCTGCATTAAATAACCTATAGTTTGATGCATCACTAAACAAAAACAATCAACCAAACTTTTAGAAATTGATGAAGATAAAAGGATATTTTAGGATACTAGATTTTATCTTTTTCTTACTCTTGTCTGTGAGGTTTTTGATTCTATTTCTTAACTTCTGATCCTTTTCGTGACTACCCTCTAGTTCAGAACACATTGTTATGAATGTTTAAAAAAACAAAAAAAAAAGACCATTTCTCTTACAACAGAGCATTGTCTCCTAATCCAGGTTGGAGGAGTATGTTGTGACAAAGGGGTTTAAGGTAACACCTCGCTTGTAAATCTGAATGATAAAACTGGCATGGCAACCATTTTCGAGCAGTGGGCCACTTGCTAAAAATATTCTTAAGTATTAGATTGGTGGAAAAGTCTCATCTTTTTACAATTGAAAAAGGCTTGACTTTATCTTCCTGTAAATTAAGATAACTGTCGACAAAACTTTAAGTTCTGTCAAGTCATCTTAATAAATTTTGTTAATTGGGAACTGAAATACATACATAAATGCAAAAATTGATAAAGATGAAATGTTCAACTTTATATTATTAAAATACACTTACACCATTATTTATTTGGCATACCTCCCAAATTATGAGTTGACAGGATCAACAAAGGTTACCACACAACAATTCAATAATACACCACTGTCCGACTGATTATGTACTTGGGTGTAAACACAGTTCTAGATTGGTGGCAGTCTCATCTTTTACAGTTGAAATGGTTAGATGTAACCGTAAGTTCTAAGCTGACAGTTTCTTTTCTAGCACTTTTCATTTGTGGAACTCTCTTCCAGCTTCTTGCTTTCCAGTAAAATTTGATCTTCAAAAAATTTAAATGCAATATCAACATTATCTTCTCTTAATTCTTTTTCTTTTATTGTTCTCTATGTGTTTTCTTTTTTTCATATTCTCTCAAACTCCATAAATCCTTGCATCTTAGTGGCTTTATTGCTTTGCTTGGAATGAAAGGATGTAAAAAAAAAAAAAATGGTTCAAGATTATTATTCATTGAAGGTGGCTTGACCATTTTCACTACAGAAGCCCATATGTGTAAGAATCTCTCGGTAATAAGGGAAAAAATTTATTTCTTAAGGTTCTCCCACCTCACAATTAAAAATTGAATTTTTAGCATATCATCACTAATGACATCGATTAACATACACTACTGCATGTAATTTGTTTATAATTTATTTATTTGACTATGCAAAAAATAATTGTAAAATTTATCTATTTCTTCTCCAAAGAAATAAATATTATCAGCACTTCCTGTTTCTAAAGCCCCAAAAAATATTTTCACATATGATCTTCATTAATGAAAATTGTTAATTGTTTAAAATGAAGTAAACATTATCTTCAAAAGAAGTTTAAAAAATTCAAGAAACCTTAACCATTGTTTATGCATGTGGTTCTGTCTGGGAGTGTGAATGTGTATGGAAACAAGTGAGAACAAAATGAAACGAACAAATTTTTAATAAGCCTTATTTTCCCCACAAAATTAGGTATGATGTTAAGAAATCTAAATGGGTCACAGTTTGCCCATGACTGCAATAAAGTCTCATTTTTTGGTTTTGCATTAGATGTGAATTTCATATGCTAAACATCTTCCCAATACTGGCTTATTTATTTATTGTGGAAAAATCAATTTCCTTTTCCAAAAAAAAAAAAAGTGGGATGTGAGTGGTTGGAGATTGCAGTCTTTGCTCTTTGAGGTGGGAGTGGGGATGCTACTTATGGGTATCTGGCATCACCTGAGACACTTGAAATCATTTGAGATTGTGTGATCTTTATTAAATAAGCTAAATCTGGTATAATGATCACAATGGCAGAGAATGTAATGATGTGGAGCAAAATTCTAATCCCCCACCCCAAAACAGAAACTTATATATATATATATATATATATATATATATATATATATTTTTATTTTTTTTTTTTTTTTTTTTTTTAATCCATTCACATCAAGCAAGGCAATAAAGCCACTAAGATGCAAGGTGTTACTGATTGAGAAAAAATATAAGAAAAAAACCATTTAGCAGAGAGAACAAGAATTAAGGCAGAAGATAACCATTGACATTACATTTCAATTTTTGAAGGTCAAGGTTGCCTGGAGAGCAAGAAGCCAGAAGTGAGTTCCACAGGCAAAACATGCAAGAGATGAAACTGTTAACATAGAACTTAGTTACATCAAGCCAATTCAACTTTAAATTAATGAGACCATGCCACTGATCTAGTATTGTACTTAAATTCTTAGTTTAGGTAGCCTAGAGGAAAGTTCATCAGAACAATTACCATGAAAGTATTTATAGAAACAACTCGGGAAGCTGTGTCAATGTGGTGGGAAAGTAACAGAAGCTGAGATGTCAAGTCTACTGACATTACAGTTTTTTGTATTTTATCAAGAATCTCTAAATACTTAGCAGAAGCACCAAACGAGATGTGGCAGCAATATTCAAAGCATAGATGAGTGATAGACTTATAAATATGTAAGACAGTTTCTGTCGAGAGAAATTGTCTAAAACTGCATAGTGGATCAACTTTCCTAGCAATTGATTATATAATCATTTTAGAATTCTAATCCATCTGAAATAACTTAAAATGTTTACATGGTCTGGTAATACATTTTTGTAACCGCCTTGATTATCTAAGGATTAGAAACTTTGAGTTATGCAATAATCTCCGAGTTAAAACTAAAGTCTACAAGCATTAATATTTGTATATTACTAGTTTTACTTTACAGGGGAAAAGAAGTTCAATTTCTTTTGAGAACTTCATCGTACACTCAGTGATCAGTGTATATACTGTACTAATTTATATTCATCGACTAACTGCAGAGTTCAAATGACGTATAACTGAACTATTAAGTTTTATTTATGAATGCTAAAAATAAAAAAAAAAAAAAATAAAAAATAAATTAAAACTAAGGGGTGAAAAGAACAAAGTACTCTGGTCTAAATTATTTCTAATAATGCAAAAGTGCCAAAGTGTCTGCAAAGCAATTTAATATGGGTGGATTTAAACTATTTACCAAGTGTTCCCTTTGGTTCTGTTATTTCTTTCACTCTCTGGCTTAGATTGAAATATTCATCAAATAGTAAGGCAGGATAGAAACCACTGCTTAGTCCTACTCCACCCTCCAACCAATATCCATTTCATTTTGGCTGTTTGTTACTTCTTGTTGGGGTCTCAGGCATTCTTATCCATTTCTAGATGATTGGGCTGATTCTGGGCAGAAGGAGGCAGAAAATAGATTTTTGCCAGTCGTCATGGAGACTTGTTAGAAATAGACTTAATTCTTGTGATCGCATTCACAAATCGCAAGAATACAGCTGCTGTTAGTATAAAAACAGCAGTGAAAATTTCTTTTTTCTTTAACCAGTTGGTGATAGCTGGTCTTTCAAATACATTAAATGTATTCCATGTCTCTTTTAATCTATTTAAAGCTTCAAGTTTTGAAGATTAAAAGAAACTCATCAAGGATCCTTTACATTGATTCTCACTTTTTAGGGATGCGTTTTTAGTTTGTTTGTTTTTTTCTCTTTCCCCGTCTTTGCCTTCCTCCTTTCCCCGTCTTTGCCTTCCTCCTTTCCCCCCCTCTTTTTTGCCTTCCTCCTTTCCCCGTCTTTGCCTTCCTTCCTCCTTTCCCCCTCCTTCTTTTGCCTTCCTCCTTTCCCCTCTTTTTGCCTTCCTCCTTTCCCCGTCTTTGCCTTCCTCCTTTCCCCGTCTTTGCCTTCCTCCTTTCCCCGTCTTTGCCTTCCTCCTTTCCCCGTCTTTGCCTTCCTCCTTTCCCTTCCTTTCCCATCTTTGCTTTTGCCTTCCTCCTTTCCCCCTCCTTTGCCTTTTGCCCTCCTCCTTTCCCCCTGCCTTTTCCCGCCTTCCTTTTCCCCCCCTTCCTCCTTTTGCCCTTCCTCCTTTCCCCGTCTTTGCCTTCCTCCTTTCCCGTCTTTGCCTTCCTCCTTTCCCCGGTCTTTTGCCTTCCTCCTTTCCCCGTCTTTGCCTTCCTCCTTTCCCGTCTTTGCCTTCCTCCTTTCCCGTCTTTTGCCTTCCTCCTTTTCCCCGTCTTTTGCCTTCCTCCTTTCCCGTCTTTTGCCTTCCTCCTTTTTCCCGTCTTTTGCCTTCCTCCTTTCCCGTCTTTGCCTTCCTCCTTTCCCCGTCTTTGCCTTCCTCCTTTCCCGTCTTTGCCTTCCTCCTTTCCCCCTTTTGCCTTCCTCCTTTCCCGTCTTTTATTCCTCCTTTCCCGTCTTTGCCTTCCTCCTTTCCCCGTCTTTGCCTTCCTCCTTCCTCCTTTCCCCCCGTCTTTGCCTTCCTCCTTTCCCCGTCTTTCCCGTCCTTTCCCTCTTTGCCTCCTTTCCCCGTCTTTGCCTTCCTCCTTTCCCGTCTTTGCCTTCCTCCTTTCCCCCCGTCTTTGCCTTCCTCCTTTCCCGTCTTTGCCTTCCTCCTTTCCCCTTTTGTTCCTTTTCCCCGATTTTGCCCTCCTTTCCCGTCTTTGCCTTCCTCCTTTTCCCGTCTTTGCCTTCCTCCTTTCCCCATCTTTGCCTTCCTCCTTTCCCGTCTTTTGCCTTCCTCCTCCTTTTGCCTTCCTCCCCCCGTCTTTGCCTTCCTCCTTTCCCCCGTCTTTGCCTTGCTCTTTCCCGTCTTTTGCCTTCCTCCTTTCCCTTTTGCCTTCCTCCTTTCCCCGTCTTTGCCTTCCTCCTTTCCCCGTCTTTGCCTTCCTCCTTTCCCCGTCTTTGCCTTCCTCCTTTCCCCGTCTTTGCCTTCCTCCTTTCCCCGTCTTTGCCTTCCTCCTTTCCCCGTCTTTGCCTTCCTCCTTTCCCGTCTTTTGCCTTCCTCCTTTCCCCCTTTACCTTCCTCCTCTTTGCCTTCCTCCTTTCCCCGTCTTTGCCTTCCTCCTTTCCCGTCTTTGCTTCCCTCCTTTCCCATCTTTTACCTTCCTCCTTTCCCCGTCTTTACCTTCCTCCTTTCCCCCTTTGCCTTTGCCTTCCCCCCTCCTTTCCCCCTTGCCTTTTGCTTCCTCCTTTCCCCGTCTTTATATATTCCTCCTTTCCCGTCTTTGCCTTCTCTCTCTCTCTCTATTTATATATATATATATATATATTATATATATATATATATATATATATATATATATATATATATTATATATATATATATATATATTATATATATATATATATATATATATATATATATATATATATATATATATATATATATATTATATATATATTATATATATATATATATATATATATATATATATATATATATATATATATATATATATATATATATATATATATATATATATATATATATATATATATATATATATATATATTATATATATATATATATATATATTATATATATATATATATATATATATATATATATATATATATAATATAAATTTAAAGGCAAATTACCTAAAATTCAATAATCTAAAACAAAAGAATCATGCTTTTAACTTAAAAATTACCTGGGTGGCCTCAAACTTTTGAGCTGTGAGAGAGAGGGGGGAATATACGGCCTGACGATTGCATCTAGCCTGAAACAGCCTGTTGACTTCAATGTTCACATATATATATATATATATATATATATATATATATAAATGATTACTTCACATCACCATTTTCCTACAGATCCATTAATCTAACTTAACTCTAATACATAATAATCAATAAAGATACAAAATACACTCTTTTTCAAAACATCCTGCTGTGTCTCATTTAACTTTTGCACACTTTAGCAACCAGAATGTTTCTCGGACATATTTGAATATTATCTGTTGCTTTGTTACACGTACAAGGGGGCCGACACTATTTTTCAGACACTTTATTTTTTCAAGTTTTAGGTAGCACAGGCAGTCTGTACTGTTTTAGTGTAAAGGCAATAACATTTAAAAACTGTTTCAATACTACAAATGGAAAAGCAGAATTCAAATTAGAAGTATTTTTATTTATTTACAAATTTTCACGTTACACAGGTGACAGTATTTTTCGGACATTGCAGAAACAACGTTATGGCAGCACCTTCTTTTTTTTTTTTTTTTTTTTTCAATGACTTCTATCAGTTTATCTTCATTATGTTCATACATATTGATAATAATGTCTCTTCGTGTTTCTAGCAGTCTATTTTTAGCATCTTGTATGAGCTGCCACAATTCAGCCTCTCTGGTTATTTCTGGCCCATCGTAAGCATTTTCCATGTTTTCAATTAAATTCAAGTCTGGACTTCTTGCAGGCCATTCCAGAGTAGTTATATTTGCTTCACACATCCAATTTCTCACTGATTTGGCCACATGGATGCTTCAGTTATCTTGCTGTAAAATAAAATTACTTCCCATTTCCTTTTCTACGAGTGGTAGGGCTCTCTTTTCCAAAAGTTCTCTGTAGCTCAAGCTATTTTGATGTCCTTTTAACCACTCGAGTCACAAGTTTCCATTCGGAAATACCATACCCCAAACCATGACTCCTTCCCCTCCCATCTGTCGTTGAGAAAAACAGGTTCACCTTTTCTCGACCATGTACACCACTCATCAGGTCCAGCGAACTTAAAACGTTTTTCATCAGTAAATATCACTTTAATTCGACGTGGTTTGTTATTCATCTTTTGGCGCTTCCCAGTCTTGCCGCCTTGTGTTTTCTCGTTAGTGTAATTCTTTTCTTGATTTTAGCATACTTAAGTCCAATTTCTTTGTACAGTTCGAACACTGACATCAAGTTCACACTTCTCCTTTTAGTTTCTTCACTGTCCCCTTTTCTCCAGATGATAACAACCTTGTAACACTCCTTTTCCTTCTTCTTTCTGTTCTCTTGGAAATTGTTTTTTTTTCGTCCCTCTTCTTCTTCCGCTCATAGTCTGTACTTAGTATGTATTCAACTGTTGACTTCGGTAGCTTCATCTCAGCGCAGTCTTTCGGATGCTGAGCCCGCCTTCTCTTTTTTTGGACCAAAATCTGATGACTTCTTTTTCAATGCATTCTTTCTTCAGGATTTTAATACGTTTTACGCGAAATGGTAAAGATACTCAAATGTAATGGTCAGGGTACAATTTACCTGCAGAAAATTTGCATATTGTAGACGTTCGACAACTAAAAACACAGAATTTGTGTTATGTCCGAAAAATAGTGTCGTCTAAGTTGAAGTAGGAATAAAGAAAACATGAAACCAAAGACAAACCCATCAATCAATGTTCATAACATTAATGGACAGTTACTGCTGAACTACCTACTCGTCAACACAAAAGCTCTCGGCAGCAAAAAACACCTTTAAGCACACTTTTCAAAAGTGTCCCAAAAAAAGTGTATCTATCCAATAAGAAATAACCAAACACAACATACCATTAATCTGTCTAATTGTTTTTTTTATAATTTTTATCTTGATTTCTGACAAAGCATTAATAAAATAAAACATGTTAGTTTGAGATTTGTTTCTACTTGTTCTTTATTCTGCTGTGTGTGTAAAAACATTCATTGTCTCTCATACATATACATATATATATATATATATATATATATATATATATATATATATATATATATATATATATATATATGAGACAACAAATGTCCATTATGTTTGATCATGAGCCATGCTAAGCTTTGTATAGTGGCTTTAGTTTCAGAAGAAAATAAAGATAAAAGCTGTCCAACATTTGGATATTTTTTTTTTATGCTTTCGGCTTACATATTACAATGCATTTAAACAGATGGTTCTGTCGATAACATTTCTTTCTCTCACTTGCTCAGGTACAAATTTATGACTACGTCTGCTACTCCACGACCGTTATAATCGCATAACACACTTCTATGTAAGCATAACAAGTTGTCATCTTTCATGGTGAACATGTCTGTAGTAATGTACATATAACCACTCTGAAGATGGCTCATGAGGAACAGCATAATAATAAAAAATAAAAAAAAAAAAGAAAATATCCAAATGTTGGGCAGTTTTCATCTTTTTCTCCTGAAACTAAAGCAACTATACAAAGCTTAGAACAGCTCATGATCAAACATAATAGACATTCTTTGTTATATTTAACAATTTGAACCTCTAATAAATAAATAAATATATATATATATATATATATATATATATATATATATATATATATATATATATATATATATACACACGTAAAAGGTTTGTCATCAGCTAGATTGATGTTACCTCAACCTCCTGACTCCAGAGTTTTGTAGCAGGTTTTAATAAAGCAATTGTCAGATGTCTTTTTACATTTTTTTTTTTTTTTTTTTTTTTTTTTAATCATCCTTATAGTTGGTTGGAACTCCATTGACAATTCCTTTCCACACTGTTCAGTCCCCAATGTCCAACCCTAAGTTCTGACCTGGAGAAAGTCAATTTTTGTGAGAAGGCACTTCCAGAATGATGCCATAGAAGTAAGGATGAGGTGACTTCCCTGTCCACTTGGTGGAAGTGGCCAACAAACTGTAATCATTTTTGCTTTGCTTAAGAGATTGGTCTCAATTCTCTATAGATTGTGTTAAGTGTTACATGGGGTCTCCAACTGATGTTCGTTCTGGATTTTTCTAAGTAGATTTGTATATGTTCCATCCAGTCATCTTTCAAGATGAACAGATAATGTCCAAGTTTCTGATTCATACAGTAAGACTGGTTCACTCAATGTTTAAAAAGTTTGAACTTTTAAGGAGGATGGAAAAATTCAAGTGCCAAATCTTGTCAAGTTTGTTACACACGTCGCATGCAAGAGTTTTGTGGATGAAGTCTTTTTGGGAATTTATGATATAAGATCCAAGATATTTGAAGTCAGAAACTCTTTTGATGGATGTATTATTGAGTGATTTCAACTTGGATGGTTCAGGGAAGGTTGTGATGTATTCTGTTTTTCTCTCGTTGCAATACAGGCCGACGTGCTTGCTCAAGTGATTGCAGCTAGGATTCTGCATCCTTGATACATTAAGAAATTAATGCAAGGTCAGTCAATTATTGTGGAGGGTACTGACTGCTCTGGTGAGGTTTCAAAAAGTAAAAGTGAGATCCCTGGAACTTTTTTTCAACCTTGCATCTTTTTTTTTTTTGCTAGCACAAAGCTTAAAGATTACCAGTTTTTCTTTCTCCAGTATATCAAAAATTATTTGGATGGAAATACTTGTGCTCTTTCTGCATTTCTCTAAAGAGTCCTTTTTATCTCCTTATGTGATGCTTCTGCAGAATGCTTGTTTCATGCCCATATTGATGTTCAACTTCTATTACAAACAGTGAGTCAGTTTTTTCTTCCTATGAGATCATCACAAATGCACTTGCAACCAAAGAAATTAATCTCCTTTAGAATCCCAGTACCCTTTTTTTTTTTTTTTTTTTGATAATTCCTGTTTCAGCCAATTTCTTCATCTCATGCAGAAATTTATAGAAAAGACAACAAAAGTGCAGTCTTCTCACTTTTTGTGCTTGCCCCCTTTATCTGACTCGTAGTATGCCCAAGACAACCAAAGAAGATGTATATTTTCTCTAATTCTGTCATTGTTCTTGTAGAACCAGACCCTGATATTTTTAATGATTTTTCTAATTTCTCTCCAGATTGTTCAATCTAAATCAATTTTTACAAATATCTTTATTTAAAGAAAAAGATTTAGAAATAGAACAAATTTTTGTTCTCATGCAATTTTTTATGGAAGGAAAGTTTTGAACATATTGAATCATATATTTATTAGCTGAATTTTTTTTTTTTTACTATAACATTTTTAACCATCTTTAACAAATTTTAAAATTCAACCTGAGCAGCGTTTGCATTCATGGATTTAAAAAGAAAAAATCAGTTTTGCTGCTTTATCTGTAGCAAAACAGTTTCTAAGTTTGGAATGCACCGGTCCATAGAACAAAAACTTGTTAAATGCCAAAAGATGAGGCCACTGCTGACAGGCAGTGCTTAAAGCATGGAAAGCATATCACTGCTCAAAACATTTTCAAATTTCAAAGTTAAAAAAACTACACAGACATGAATTGCAAAAACTAAATTAAAATTTAGAAACGCACAACTCTGGCTAGGAGTGTTGCTAGCAAACTACTCATAGAAATGACAGGATTATTGATGTACAAATCAATCATACATAGCTGGCAATCACCATGTTAAAACTGAGTTATTTTAAAATGCTTAAGAAATGTAGATTCGCCTAAAACATTAAAATATGGTAAGAATTAAATTTTTTTTTTTTTTTTTTTTTTTATTATCAAACAAAATTGGGAAAATTGCTAATTTGGCAACCCTAACTTATTTGACTGTATTTCTTAATCTGTCAAGTAATTTGTATCGACTTTACTCTTTCTTTTATCTTTGTGGAAAAATGGGGAAAAAAATCCAATTTAAATCAAATGATTTTAAATATGAAAAAAAAAAAAAAATTTTTTTTTTTTTTTCTTAAATCAACAACCTTACTTTCTATGTATATAATCCTGTTATTGCTCAATTAATGTTGACTGTCCCAAATTCTAAACATCCTTAATTGAAGAAATGTTTCTTAAATTGACAGATAATTTTTTTTTTTTTTTTTTTTTTTTTTTTTTCCCCAAAATAAAACAGATGTAGTTGGGAAATTCAGATATTCTCCTTTGATCTTAGTCAAGAAAAGAAAAATAGAAAAAAAAATTGTTTTTCATTGTTGATCAATTTGGGAATTTATGTGAGATTTCTCTAATTTTATAATTCAACTTGTTTTTCTAGTGAATTTATATCGTCTGCACTATGAGACTGAAAGCAAAAAGGTTTTCAATTGTGTCACCAGATGTGACAATCCTGCTTTTCTTTCCAGCCTTCTCCTCTTACGTACTGTCCAATGTAACTAAAATTAATCCTTGGGTGAAAAATGATTTCTCAAGTAGACAAACTTGATTATGTTAGCAAGCCATCATTTTGGGTTCATTTTTGCAAATATAAACAATTACTTATCTGTTTGTGATTTCTTTCAAAACAATAAAAAAATTTGCTCAGTCAAGATCTGTATTTTTTATTTAAAAAAACAAAAACTCCTTACTCCGTTTCAATGTTTTAAACCAAAATGATACCAAAGTTTGTTAGTACTGTATATCACGGTCAACGCAAGGGTTTTGTGTGTGTCAAATCAGATAGTGGGAGGGAGCACTCTAGTACATCTCTATTTTCATAAGGTATTATTCATATAAAATACAAATTGTAACCCAATTATATACAATAATGGATCATATGTAATAAATCCAATGTATCTAAATACAAATTAGACATGTCATAATAGATCATTCCATCTTAAATAAATCAATGTTTTGTGACAATTTTGAACATCAACTGGAGATTTTTCTTGTTAAAAAGTTGAATTTTAACACATTCAACATATGGATAAAAGATATAGTAAATAAATAATGGTTTGGAATTGTAAATCGGAGGGGTGATTTCCAATTTTAGTCTAGTTTGTTATATTTACACACAGATACTCTCGGGGGGGTATGAATCAACCTCTTCCTCCCAGATATGGTTTAATTAGTAGGACTTGTATCGGTAAATCATTATTATCCCAAAATAATTCATACAGTCTCAAAATATTTTCTTGTTTTTAATAACCTGCAATAACCGTAAAAAAAAAATCAATATATAAATATAATATCTTTTGATTGGGATCTTTCATATTCATTTGATTTTAAGCCTTTTGTACCTCTCCTTCAGGGGAGGCTGGGTTTATTGCTCAGCAACTGAGGTATCCACAAAAGAGGAAGTGTCAAATGCACTTATTGTTGTTAAACCCACTCTAAACCTTGATTATATTTCACATCTGGTAGTGACATGGGCACACTGGTAAATACAATGATGGAAATTCCTATCATCCACAGTGAATGGTTTAATGGAGAGGTGT